GCCAAAACACTGCACGGCACAGTCTTATGAAGGAAAATGTGGGGTGAAACACCATGCTGTCAGTCTCGGACCATCTGCCAGTGTGTTTTATATGAGGAGTAAACCTTCCTAGGACCTCTGGGCCAGAGGCACAGGGTGCACGTGATTAATATGCCTAGGTTAATGAGCAGGTCCAGCATTGCCTTTGCTCAAATGACCCTCTATCGGTGTGGTTGGCTCTTCATTGCGATTCATTTAACTGCCATTGTTAAAGTACTGTATGTAGCCCATTCCAACGCGCAGTGCCTCGGCTGTAAGTGGGCCTGTGGCATCTCCTGTTTTGTTAGAGATATGGCTCTAAATATAAACCACCTGCATAAATAAATTTTAAAAACTGCCACCTGGCAGTTATACTGCTAATTAAAAGGTAAAACACTCTTAATGGATTCATTTCTCAGGAGGGATGTTTCTCTACACAAACGCCCCTTATTTCTAGCTCTCCTATCGTGGCATCGTTCTCCTACATTCTACCCCACGTCCAACCCTGGGAGCCCTGACTGATGTGTTATGGGTGAGTGTCAACTGGTCTGCTAGTGCTTTGGTCCTTGTTTAGAGAGAAAGGCTAAGAGAGACAGCTGGATGGGTTCAGAGGCTGGAGGGGACCTCACTCTTGGCAAAGCCTTCTGTTCCAACAGCCAAAGCTCTTCATTTATTCATACTATGAGAGCACACACCAAACACACGCATAAGCAGAAAAAAGATAAACAAGTACCTACAAATAGTAGAGGACGAAAGAGGATGAAAGAGTAAGATACTACATCTAACGTGCTTACAGAGAAGCAGACCAGTCAATAGACGTGCTCATATGTAGGCGTATGCGTGCACACACACACAAACACAATCACACACCTGCACAGTTGCCCATCTGTTTTCTTTAGGGGAAAACACCATTTTCATTAAAGTGAAAAAGCATCTACAAAGCAGCAGTGAGGCATAAAAAGTCACTTTCCAGAACGACTTATTCTCTATTCAGATCCAATTAGGTCAGCGCAGGTAAGACTTTTACTTAGTGACAGACGTGGACCTGTGATATTTGGAATCTCAGGGCGCAATAAATGAAATATCTGAAGTGCTGGGCTCGTCGAGGCCAGCAGCTCATTATGTCAGACTATGAGGGAGAGCTCTCAGCTAAAAGCTAAATGCAGATATTTCCAGCATGAGCTGGCATAACTGAAACCCAGAATTGTGCAGCAAATTGTACAAAGATAACACTTTCTTACACCCCTTTTGAATTTCAGCAAAATGTATGGAAAATGTTTTCTGAGCAGCAACCATTTGGTTTTTTTAATATGTGGTTAATCTATCCAAGAAAAGCCAATTTAGAAACGTGCTCCAACATTTTCAGAGATGTGATGACCCCACTTAAAGTACCGGCCAGTTGATGGTGCCAGCTAACCACTTCTACTCAGCAGACAAGCCTGTAGCCATTGTGCTTGTATTATCACATTCCGAAACCTATGGGCTACATGATAAGATGTACGATGTGGTGGTTTATGTAATATAGCTGCTTTATTATATGGTAGCAGAGGCTCGAAGCCTCTGTCACCATGCGAAAAGCCTCTGTCACCATAGATTCTACCCTCTATAACACTCCTAAGTGAGCAGTGACAGCTGTGCTACTACTATTATGAATTACTGAAGAACAAGCGACTTGTGTGTCATTACATGTAAATATTCAGGTCAGTCAGTGGCAAGATGAGGTGTGTCCAAAATGTGCTTACTAGGCAGTGGAGTGGCTGTAGAGTGCCTACTGTATTTTCATTAAAATAGTAGGCATTCAACAGAAAAACATACATACATGTGTAATAGGTGATTTCCAACACACAGAATACCTCCGGGTACGGCTATCACTAGTGCAGAGTCATAATTAAATAGAGTAAAAGACAGGCTGACAGTGTTATCAAAACATAAATCTTACAGCAAACATCTAAGTCAGTGTGTGCTTTAGTGAGCCACTGTGTGCTCTTGGACAGAAGAAGAAACCCACGGCTTGTACATTTCACCCACAGGGTAGAACTTCATCTCATAACCATGTCTTGTTGCAAAACAGCACAACTGAACTCCTCCATGATTCAACAACTAAATGTATACATATTTGCACACACAGAGGCAGTAACTCTGCTTAAGAGATGTCACATGAATACGTTGGGGTGTAAAAGTACCTGAAGAGTGGTACAATGGAAGCGGTCGAGGCAGAAGGCCACCCACCAAGAGCCCAGTTCTGTTGGAGGCTTCTTCTGTTAAAAGGAGTTTTTCCTCTCCACTGTTGCCAGTGCTTGCTCAAGGGGGATTTGTTGGGTTTTCTCTATAATACTGCAAGACCTAGACTTTACTATGTAAAGTGCCCTGAGCTGATTGTTGTTGTGAAATGATGCTATACAAATATAAAACTGAACTGAATTGAACTAAGTGAACCATGAGATAATTAAATGAGTGTTTCCCTATGTCAAAGACCATCATCCCTAAGAAGGTGTTGAGAGATGATGGATTCAGGAATAGAAGAGCAGGAAATGGAAGGACAAGAGAGACAAAAGGAATGTTTTATCCCAAAAGAACCCCTAACTAGTAAAACACACAAAGTGAGACATAAGCAGCATGTTCCAAATGCTTAAAGTCATCAGAACAGCTGTCTACCAACAGGACAGCAGTGGGACGAGTCATTAGCAGGCAGACCAGCAAGACAAGTGTACTGGATAAAAATAGTTCATGTAATGTTTTATTGATTTTCCCCAGCAGAGGGAGAAAGTGAACGTGAAACTCAAGTAGACTGATCAGCTGTAACAGATACCAGGACATACAGAAAACAACAGGATTTGTGTGATTTAAACAGCTGACTGTGGAAAGTACACTTCACTCAACATAGAGGGGAAAATAGACACGAAACGTAAAAAAACAAAAACAAAAAAACCGCAAGGGTTCTAACAAGAGACCCGCGTCTCCCAGATTCAGTATGGACCAGCTCATTTGATATAATGGAATACTATGTCTGCAGCGTGAGATGGGTGTAAGAAGCGCATATTAAACGCTTCCAAAAACACTTCCAGTGTGTTCTACCAGTAAGCTTGGTAAACATGAATAACACCAATCATACCTGTTGCAGACCTGCCAACCCTGATCAAAGTCTTGGCATACCACTTTAGTTGTAATTTTATCCATTTTAATATCACAGCAGCCAATAAACATTGCTCTAAAAATGCACATCATTGGATGTGTTCTGTTCATTATTTTTATGGACAGAATTTCTAGGCACAGCCAGGGGCCGGAGGGAGTCCGGTTTGGGGACCACAGGATCTCGTCTCTGCTTTTTGCAGACGACGTTGTCCTGTTGGCCCCATCAAACCAGGACCTCCAGCGTGCACTGGGGCGGTTTGCAGCCGAGTGTGAAGCGACTGGGATGAGAATCAGCACCCCCAAATCCGAGGCCATGGTTCTCAGTCGGAAAAGGGTGGCTTGTTCCCTTCAGGTTGGTGGAGAGTTCCTGCCTCAAGTGGAGGAGTTCAAGTATCTTGGGGTCTTGTTCACGAGTGAGGGAAGGATGGAACGGGAGATTGACAGGCTGATCGGTGCAGCTTCTGCAGTAATGCGGTCGATGTACCGGTCC